TACTCAAGTTCCTCAGACTCACTCTTAAGGTAAGAAACATTAAGATCTAACGTTATTTTTTCAAGGACGGTGAATAAGGGGGTTAATTTGTATCACTAACCCACGTTCTTAAGGACGTACTTTAGATTTCAGTAAGGCCCGGCCCACCGGCGGTGGGGCTCACTCCGACCTTAACTCGCGAAAATGGAAAACTAACGTCACTACGCTCCGCCAAAATCAATGAGCGCGCGCCTCAAATCCTGTGAGCACGATTTCAGGAGCGATGAGAACTCTCCTGGAAAACGCAATCCTAAGAGCACTCTCGGGCGAGCGATAAGTACTTATTGAACATGCCGAGGAGCACTCATCAGAGTGATCATGGGAGCGCTCCTGATCGTAGTCCATTGAACGCGTTTTCACGCACTGCTCTCCTGGGAGAGCTCCTGGGTTTGACAATAGCTTTTTTGAACACCCGGTAGGAATCTGCTAAAAAACGGGCGAGCGCTCTTCTTTCCTTAGTTTTTTGCACTTTTCCTTAGAAAAATGTATTTAGCCGACATTTCTCTTCTCAATGCTCTTATCTATGAAGCCTCTGTCACGCGCTACGAAATTTTCAGTGCTACTGGAGTGTGCGATTTTGGAACCACTCTCAGAATCGCGAAAAAGATTCTTCGAACGCGCTAAGAACCACTTCTGGAGACGTTTCTGAGATCGTTTCCAGAGCTGTTTCTATAAACAGAAAATCCCAAAATCGTTTCTAGAAACGCTTATCAGATCTAAAATCGGTCTGTTGAACAGGCGGAAAATCTCTTCCGCAACGCGTACACCATCTCTCGCGTGCGCCCAGGAGATCGTGAAATCTTTGAATGACAGTAAGACCGCTGCGTGAGATGGTTGAATCCTGAAATAGCTTACTTCGAAAACGAAACAACTTGTTTCAAACAAGTCGAAAACTTGAAATTCGGTGTGATAAAGCAAAGTTTATGGTGAACTACAATCACCTTATCATCAGTATTGATCACGCCTAGGCTCGTTGACTAGCTTGGAGACCAAGCTGACCTAATAAAAGATCGAATGGCTCCAATTAAAAAACGACTTCACCCGCTGAAGTTCAGCGGTTTCTATGCAGAGAATGCCAGAGATGCACAATCCTAGCTGAATGGGACAAATCTCATGGAGTTCCGAACTCAGGTTCGAAAAGTCACTGCGTACACCCTACTATTTTATTCGATATAGAGTGGTATATATGTCAATCAAGCCAAATATTCGTTGATAAGCTTGTACAAGTCCCCTTACAGGGGAATAACTAGACAAACCAAGAAGCGCACGAGACCGTGCATGGTCTAGAGATACATGTAGTTGCAAGTGGTTCAGTGCCATCGAGATAGTAGATCATAGTATAAGGCGAGCGCCGGGGCGAACGCCTATTGCAGCGCATCGCGCGATTAGACAACGTTGTTGCTATAAGTTATAAGACTTCAGATCGGTTCACGCATTCACAATCAAGGCCACACTACTGTAACTGTTACGCTGGTGCAATTCTCAGAGGATCGTTCTCTGTGTGTGCTAAGAATATCAGTGAACCTCGCTGATATCGGCGCTACCCCAGGCTTAACGCGAATCAGTGTCCACTCCACGTTTCGCATGATTCGTGTGTGCAGAACCACAGTCCGGTGTCGGTTGTGATTCCAGCTCTTTCCTTGATTCGGTATGATTCTCTATTTCCCCATACCGGCTCACCTCCATCCATCGATCTGCGGCTTCGAGCAGAATGCCTTTGCATGAGACCATGCTGTAGCAAAAACTTACTGAAAAATCTCGGGCATGTGGAAAATACACTTCAATGCTCTGTTTGATACATACCCAACATCGCTTATTCATGCCTGATGCTTCATTATCATGCGTCATAGCTCACTCATGAATCCGCATAACTATGTGTAAGTGCTTTTGAGCCATGAGTTAGTTTATTCGACTCAGAACAACACCTTGATGAACGAATTCCCTATAACAAAAAGCTTCCACAGGAGCCTTTTTTTTGAAACAGTCAATTATCACGAGAACATGATACATCCAGCTATGCAAAACAACAAATCGTCTCAATCTGTCTTATTCTGCGAGCCAGGGCGAGTACTGGGCAGTCAGATTTCATCAGCTGGCCGCCGCTCTACTCGATTGGGTCGGTCTTCGCTCATTTGGTACAACTGAAAGACCAGGATATGAGCGACTATCAGTATAATCCTCTTCACTGATTCCCTATGTATTAGACATACTGGCCGTTGGCAGTGCGAAGAGTTTAACATTGGACCACCTGTGTGGCTGCTTGTGGAATTGTATTGTACCTCACAGCCTTCTAATCTAGTTCGAATACACCTGTGGTAAGCCTAAAATGGTGTTGATAAACACCTTGGAATATCATAGACTATGATTCATAGTCCTCGTTCTGAGCTGGTCAAGATGTGCCACAGTAGCTAGTCCCATCTACTGCATTCTCCCCGACTTTGCTTATTGAATTGTCCTTCAGTCTCTCCTTTCTCGCCGGAGACGATGCCGACACGGGCGAAAAACTCCGGTATTCCGGACCATAATCGTCCGTCGCGTACCAATCCCACGTGCTCCAATCGTAGACTTCTGGCACGGGTGGTGTCTCGTTGGCGGCCTGCACATCGCGAGGAGCGTTCTTGCAAGGAGTTTGACTCATTGCCGGGAAATTTGCAGATTGGGCACTGATGGATTCCAGTCACCCCAATCTGTCTCCACGCATACTTTTGATACAAAAATCGTAAAAACCTTCTATCTTGAACGAAATGGGGAGTATGGGCCAGTGACTTCGGTTGAGACGCTCTCTCGAAGACTGTTCACTACATGCCCTGGCTATCGCCCATAACATGCGAAAGATACCATCTAGATCTGACCTCTCCCCAAGCAGTTTTCGATAGAAAAACCGTTAAGTTGCACTATCGGTGATAAGTGTTCACACTACTGCACGAGTCAGTCTGTACCAGCATCGGCTTTTGACAAAGAAACCGTAGAATCTCAGGCTTAGATCTTGACGAGTGAA